ACAGACACACCAGTGAGTGGGCGATTTCTGGCAAGAATGCTGAGCAGGCTAAAGGGTGAGAAAAGTCAGGGTTTGCAATATGACACAGTAGAAAAACAGAGCAGCACTATTTGAACTAGTGTACGCACTAGTGTATACACTGCCAGCTCTGATTTACAGAGTGAGAGCAAAAGGCTTTGATGTCCGTCACTTAAGCCCACTGATATTCCTCAATATGTATGTGTTGACATTTCCATTATTTAATATTTGTAAACAGAGATACTGAAAAAGAGTATTTCAGAATTATTGAGGAAGAGCAAAAAGACATTAGGGACTCTTCTTTTTTAGTCAAGGTATTTTTACAATTGTTGAAATACTTTACTGTGGGGTGGTGACTAAGGAGACTATTAGGTAAGCCTTTTCTCCCTTTGCTTGCCTGAACAAGGGAGGCCTAAGGAAAATTAATGAAACCAAGAAGTAAGAAATGGAAGAGAAGGCAGATCTAAAAATGGTTTGTAAATTGACTATAAACTATAAATAGTTTATACAGTTAGCCAACCCTAAATAATCAGAAGTTCCTTGGGAGTAAATCTGTGAATATTTATGTATATATCTAGGGATTCCATGAATAGAAGGGAAATAATTTATTCTATTAGAATATAAAAATAGATACCAAGCCATAAATTGATTCTCAGAATACATGAATTCTTAATTAATTATATAGTAAACTTATCAGGATATAAGTATCCAGGATATATAAACAGTATATCAAGGTTATTATTAAGTACAGATTTTATTGTGTTGGTGCCGTGTAGGAATCTTGGCTAGTAGATTGTACTGGTTTATTGAATCATCAATAAACTGGTATTTCAGTAGCAGGATTTAAATGTGAGGTACTAGACATTTAAAGAATAATAATAGCTTTTCAGGATTGCAAATAGGATGTTAAAAGATTTTATTTGAGAAAAGTATAGTCTGTGAGGAGGACACTGGGTGTTCCTGTGGTGGGGGAGGGGGCAGGGGGAAAAGTCCACAGAAGTGATTCTATTACAAACTATTAAAATAAAAAATACAGGAGGGGAGCTGTTACATTGTGGTAAACTGTGGTCAATGACATGAGACAAAGTACATGTGAACTGCTGTATGGAAAGTGAATTTGCTCTGTAAATCTTCACCCAAATCACAATAAAAAATAAAAAAATAAAATAAAATATAGAAGTTCAATATTGACCTATATTTGCCAAACCAACTGACTGTATGAAAATCTCTTTTGATATGGTTCTTTATTCAAGATTGCAATCAGATCCTATCTCAGTTCAGTTTTGCACACACATTGTGAGTGCCTTTAATGAACCATGAGTGCATCTGCAATGCAAAATGATCAAAATATGGTCACTGTCCTCAAGCTCATTATGAACTAGTAAAGGAAGAAAATATGGAAACAGAGCAGTGAGGTAAGTATAGTGAAAAATATTAAAACAGTTTGCAATGAGAGAGCCAAAGAGGGGATTGTAACTTCATATCCTGGACCTGAAAGTAGGGAGAAGGAAAGGTAGAGATAAGGAAAGAGTTAGTTGGAGTAGATGAAGCCTAAGTTCAGACAAAACTATTCATTACTTACAAATTTTTACCCCATTAAGGCCAAATGTAGGACAAAAAATTATTTATCACATTAAGGGCAGATACTAGAATAAACAGAATGAAAACCAGAAAAATATTCCCGTCTTGTGATCTCAATGAAACAAATGATTTTTTTTTTGATGCAGCAGCAAGGATTATTCAAACACTTGTACTTTTTAAGAAATAAAATTCTGGGAATTTTCTCAGACTTATGCCAAAGCACATTGCTAAAATCAGATTAAATTTAATGTACTCGCATCTCTCAGGACAGTGACTGATTGGCTAGCACACTTAGTATCAAATGGTAATATAATAATCATATGTCAGAAGCCATACATTCTTCCTATTCTCTTCAAACTGATTCTATCTATAGTATTTAATCAGATGTTGTAGATCAGATGGTTTGTCATTTGCATATGTCTTCTCTACATAATCAATGCAGTTACAGTTTCCTTATGCAGAAACTGTTCAGTTAATTTCCATTTCCTTCCATCTGATTTGTCAGCAATCCAAGATGTTCACAACAATTACGTACTGATGATTGTTGCTGAACAATTAAATTGCAGAGCAATGGATATTTTTTGTTTTACCTCCATAATTGTCTTAAAAATCCATTTTATCAAAAATGATTTTTGAAAGTCCTTGAGTTCTGTCATCCTAACTAGTAATGTATTCTGAAGAAATGGTGTTGTATTAATATGTATTCCATGTCAACTCAAAGAATTTTAATGCTAAAAAAGAGACTTTTCAAAATCACTTAGTTAAATCCCTTCATTTTATCACTGATAGAGACTGAGGCCAAGTAAAGGTAACTGGCTTGTGCATGCCTAAACAATAAGATTCTCTCCTGCCAGGACAAAAGGGCCTTACCCTCGATTTTCATGTTCAGAGTCTCTTACATCTTAAATTTCAGTAGACATAAAACTCTTTTGGAGATCTTATTAAAATGTAGATTCTTACTCTTAGTTCTGGTCTGGGGCAGGAAATTCTGCATTTTTGCTAACAAGCTCTTAGGAGATGCTGATACTCTTGGTCCATGAACCACACACTTTGAGTATGGCTTTAAATAAGAAAATTCATTTCCCAAGTGAAGATAAGCTTTAGTGAAAGGACAGCTCTGGTTCAGAACTGATAGTTCCAAAATGGATTTGTGCACCTCAAATGGTAGTTAAGTGTTACTATACCAAATATTCTCTATAGTCATATTATGTAGATAAATCACCATTCCATAATGCTGTTTTTCAGGAAAATGCCTTGTTTGAAGTTTGTAATAAAGGGGGTAAGATTTTTTACCACTTTTACCTTCTTGAAGCTCCATGCTCACTGATCACACAATTGTGTATCTAAGATGTCTAAATAATATTTTACAAATAAATCTATTTCTTCTCTTAAGGGACTCATAATTCCTGAGCTATTTATTAATTTGATGATCCTTAAATAAGAATATTTCTTGTCTTGTCTCAGATGGCTGGTTTTATCTGTTTCTCTCTCTCTCTCTCTCTCTCTCTCTCTCTCTCTCTCTCTCACACACACACACACACACAGACACACAAAAATGGTTTTCACACAAAGTACACCATGTTCTTTGTATGAAAAAGAAGATAAGAGGACTATTGTGTGATCAATATGATAGTATTTATTTCATCAAGAATGCAAGCAGGTAAAATAAAAAGAACAAAATAAAATGTCCTTAGTTTTAGAATTACCTACTTATATATCTGTATGGATTTATAGTCCTGTGTCAGAAACAAAACAACCAAAAAATAATTTACTTTAGATATTATGTCATATAAGTTTTATGGGAAACAAGTCCCCATGTGTCTTTCTTATATATCTGTGAAGACAAACTTTCTTAAACATGTAGAATGACATTTTTATGATAAATGAGCCAATCTCATAGGTTATAGTTCTTACATACTTACTACTTTAGACAAATCTTTCTCTATTCACTGCAGCAATTGTATTCTAACCAGATAACTAGTTAATTTACATATGTGTTTTGAATATTTCAAAAGGGCTGTTTTAATACATAATAATTTTTATTAAGATTATTGATATTATTGTTAATGATCATAATTATGCTGTAAATTTATACAAATACTCTTGGGGCATAAAATCTGCAACTACTAGTATTTTATCTTAGGAGCCATTCTTTATGAAGTAGTAGCAGCATTAAATATACCAAATCATTAGACAGCAATTTTTTAGCACTGAGTTTGGCTTAAATGAAGAGCTATCACCCTTGTATTAGTAAAAATGAATAATTTTATTCACATATGTCTGAGGCCAAAAAAGATAGTGCCTGTTCTTATATATGGATGTTTATTTACTCTTGCGAAAAAAAGGGTTGCATATAAATCACTAAGTATATGCTACCAGAACTAAGTTGTATTAGATAGGTGCTTTACATAAGTATATTGGCTTACTAGAACCTTTTGATGGTCCTGTTTATTAAAGCATTATATTGGATAGAATGAATCCAGTGCCAGGTGCCTTAGTTGCTAGAGCAACAGCAACAAAAAGATCAATTATAAAGGACTTCCATATTTAAGCACAGAACCATTGCATGACCCGAAGGACAATATTATATCCACATTTTAGAATTTTGATATGTAAATATATGTGAGTGAATAAAATGTAAGTTTATAAATAAATTTAAAAGTTTTACCTTAAATACAAAATGACATCTATTACATACTATTGTAGAAGAATAATTGTTCTAAATTGAAAAATGTATTTGTCTTTGAATTGGGATAATGGGATTAAGTGAAATTTATAGTGATAAGAATCTATTTCTACTGTCTGTCTTTCATATATAATGAGACTTAATACATATCAATATTTATAAAGTGGGGGGAAATTTTGTTTGTCAAACCATTCCAGAGTATCAAAATATTTGACTTTATAGTTGAGATCATTGTATTAACCATGTCCATCTTTGACCTTGTAACTGATATAAGAGTACCCATGAAATATGTACAAAATTGAATATATATAAAATAAAAAGCTCAGGTCATTTAATGAAGATTATGAATGGAACTATATAAATTCTTATCGAAACTACCATTTTAACATACTGTGGGGCAACGCTCAGTAGCAGATGAGATAATTCCCAAAGGAAAATAACCTAACTGCCCATGCCTCGCCACCCCTATTCAACTTGTCAACCTCACTCTAGTTAAATTTCAGTTAACTGATCTTTTGAAGACTGAAGCAAGCAACAACAAAAACCTAAAACCTACAGTTTTTAATGGGACACAGTTTTCTAAATGTTCGTCTGTTCTTTATGTTGTTCAGTTACCAGGTCGTTTATAGGAATCTCCATATTCCATGGGAGGAAAGTTGCCAGTCTGAAAGTTCCATGTTAGCGTTCTATTGCTTATCACATTTTTGCCCTCTAGGTGCCAACCTGGATTCACTGGAGCAAGATGTACTGAGAATGTGCCCATGAAAGTCCAAAACCAAGAAAGTATGTTCAAATAATCTGAAATTTGCTTTCTCCCCAAACTACAGCAACAATCACTACCACTTGGTGCTTTTACAGCTCAGCTGTAACTGAATCCTTTTGTTCTAATTATGGTTCAGCCACTCAGGGCATAAACCCATTCAATATGATCTTGTTTGACTGTCCTCAACATGAACCCTGAAGTTCCTCCTACAGTTAAAAGAATGATGAGCCCAGGTGGGCAACAATGCAAAGCAGTCTGACATTAAAAAAAAAAAAAAAAATTATTTCAACATTTTTGACCAAAGCTATCAAATGGAAAACTGAGAGGAATAAACTGGATTTAATTTTAAGTGGGTCCCTTTGAAGGGAAGCAGTCACTTGATGAAGTTCTTAGACCTTTCTCTCAAAGGAACTCAAGCACTACATTGTGTCCAAAATTTTATCATCTGGGAGAATGCCAGAGTCTGAAAGCTGTGATCAGCACAAAGATTCAGTTCCTGAGGTGGACTCACCAAGTTCAGTCAGTTGACACTGAAGGAGCTTCTTTCTAGCATATATTCACCTCTTCTCTTTTTCTCTGTTTTTTCTACCATTGTTTTTTTGTTTCTTCTCTCAGGTGCCCAAATGAGTTTACTGGTGATCGCTGCCAAAACTACGTAATGGCCAGCTTCTACAGTACGTCCACTCCCTTTCTGTCTCTGCCTGAATAGGAGCATGCTCAGTCGGTGCTGCTTTCTTGTTGCTGCGTCTCCCCTCAGATTTCACCTAGAGCTAGATGTGTTTTACCAGGTCTAATATTGACTGCCTCTGCCTGTCGCATGAGAACATTAACAAAAGCAATTGTATTACTTCCTCTGTTCGTGACTAGTTGGCTCTGAGTTACTAATAGGTGTGTGAGGCTCCAGATGTTTCTGAAATTGATATTGAATAATGTGATACAAAATGAGAGTCAATATCAAGCAGTGAAATTACAATAAAGGCATTTAAAAGTCTCACTTTTGTTGATAAAATAAAAGCATTCCACTAAACAGTCCATCTTCTTTCTAAAATGACATTTAGAAAAGGATGTTGCTAAGTTGTAACCCCTATACAACTGAAATGATGGTAAGTTAACTTTGGTTCAGAATGTGTTATTTATAACAAATAAACATAATAAAAAGAGTTCAGATGTTTCTCTTCATTAACCGAACAGGTTGCATGTAGGTATTAAAAAAAGCACTGAGTAGGAAAACTAAAAACAAACATTTCACAGCAAATGAAGTAACCTGGCTTCCGTTTATAGAGTAATTCAGGACTAGTTTAAACAATCACAGAATATTTTATGTTAGTTTTGAAGGTAATCTTAGGGAAAAATAATTTTTAAATATTCATTTTAATTATTTTGAAATACAAGAATTAAATTCTAGAATATGTGTAGTTTTTTACATGCAGAAATATGAAAATCTTGTGGGCTTTTGTGGCTTCATGAAGTTCTGACCATTATTCTCATAAGACCAATTCAGATTTTATGTAATTGCGTGGATAACTAGAATATGTTTTTGTCCTTCTCTTGTGAGATGGGACTAGTAGCTTTTGATCCTGGAGCTTTCAAATCATTGTATTCAAAAGAGATTCCATATAATTCCATTATAATTCATTTAGATCAAGAGATGGCAATTTTTTATCTTTTTTTCTGTGAAGGGTAAGATAGTAAATATTTTAGGGTTTGCAGGTGATACGGTCCCTTGTCACAACTCCTGAACTGCCATTCTAGCACAAAAATAGCTGTAGAGAATACATAAATGGATGAGCATGGCTGTATTACAGTAAAACTTTATTTACAAAAACTGGCATCAGAATTTGGCCAGCAGACCACAGTTTGCCAACCCTTTATTTAGATAGGCAGTTGCTCACTATGAAAATTATTTCACATATATTATTGCACTTAAAATTGACATTACACAAGAAACAGCGCTATGATCTGTTCATTTGGGAGCTCTAAAAAGATCAGAGATTTACTCTTGTGGATAATGCATGCAAAGTATTAGGTTCTGGAATGCATCATATTAATAGTCATAGGAGTTATCAAAATAAATTGCATAATGCATTATGGGGAAATTAGACCCATTCTATTTAATCATTTATTTAGTGAGTTGGTACTTCTTATATATTCACATAGACTACATATCAACAATTATGTCATAGGTCATCTTCTGTTGTAAAAATTGATAAATTGATATTGTTAAATTTTCAATACAATCTTCATTTTATTCACAAATATTTAAATAGTATACCTTTTGTAGATAAAATTTTTCTCTCCATGGCTATAGATTCATATTTCAAAGGTAGATAAGATGGAAACTAAAATAAGGGAGAAAAATGAAATTTTATGTACCACGTTAAAGTCACTCATTTAGAAATGTTTATATTCAAATAATACAGATTGAGCAAATCTATATGACTATATAAATACAATAAAATTATGTTTTAGACCTAATGAAAATTCTGACTGTATAAGTTATAATTGTTTTTGATATTAGAGAGAATTGCATTGTGTATTGAAGGCATTGTGGGGCACTATGTAGAGAAAAGTATTAAACCCAAAGGTATTTTCCAGAATAATGATGACCTGACATAGTAATGAGAGAAAGTGTTCTCAACTTCACTTTTAGACCATTTCTTCTTTCGTAAGATATCATTTAAAAATAGCCACTATGTATTTATGAATTTCAGAGTGTGATTCCTTAAATAAATTCTTTACTAAGCCTTAAATGACACTTTTGGAAGGGATCCAGGAAAGCAGTGTTTGTCTTTAACCTGATTTAACACAATTGATAGGAAGCCCATTCATGAAAAAACGTGCCATGACTGTGATGCCACATGTATGGAAAAGAAAGGTCTTCCAGTCAGAAACTGCTATGTAAAGCTGTCTTGTACACAATTAATTTTTCTAACCTCTGTGTCCTAAATTCTCAACTTTTACCTCTGTTGTTGTTGTGTTGTTATGTGCCGTCGAGTTGGACCCCGACTCATAGCGACCCCTTTCCAAGGTGATATCACTATGGAAGTAGATTGCCCAAACTTCCTTCCAAGGGTAGCTGGTGGGTTTGAACCACCAGCCTTCTGGTTAGCAGTCAAGTGCCTTAGGATGTTCTGAATACAAATAAACACTTTAAAAAGGCAACATTTTCTATCCTTTTTTTTTGCACCTTTCATTGCTACCTGAACATAAAGCTGTTAAGAGTAGCAAAAATATCCTTATTTTCCTGCCTTCTATATGGAGTTGTGCAGAAGTAATTTTGTAAAATGCTATTAGCATATAACTTATGTTATTAGGATTTCATACACTGATTATGGTGAGAATACCCTGTGGGCCATTTATTGATTCATAAAAACTGATTTGAAATAGGAAAGAAAGGAGCAAATGTATATTTTATATAGCTTTCTGAAGGAAGCAATTTGTCCTGATATAAAATATATGTATTGTAGTTTCTAGGAAAGTATTGTCAAGATTAGTCATCTTTAAATTTGACCTCTCCTGACACAGAATTCCTAGTTGAAACGATCATGTTCATGAAGTTGTGTATGTGTGTGTGTGTCTGTGTGTAGACAGTCCATAATCAATTTCCAGAGAAAACAGAAAGCTTTAATACACAGCTTTAATAGTTATAAGCAGTATAGAATAAGTATGTCATATATAAATTAATATATAATAGAAACTAATTACGGAGTAGCCCGTATCATAGATGATTTTTAAAGGGTACAACTTTAGAACTTTTAAGTACATGCTCAGAGTAAATGTAAAGTATTTTTAAGCCATAGGTAACTAGTGCATAAATTATTTATATTGATTTCTAAATGCTTTAAAAATCTGTTGCAGTTATCACTTTATTTACCAAATGTGTTTATCTTGTTGACAGTAGAATAGATACACACTCCACCTATGACAGAATCATCATAAATTTGAACCATAACAGGGTTTTCTCTGTATGTGTGTGTGTCTGTGTGTGTCTCTGTGTGTGTCTGCACATGTGCTGTGTGCTAACATGCACATGGAAACTTGGGAGTAAGGAGAAAGTTCTTACATTTCAAAGGGCTCAGTAGCAATACGGAGTGTTATACATGACAAAAACGTATCTACATTTATAAAGGTAAGTCTAAAATTAAAAATCAGGTCCCATTTAGAAATGGTGTTAATAGAATGCCTGCAGAAACCTCAGAGGTACAGATAGTTAAGACTACACATATGTCTTTGAGATTATTTGAAAGAGCAGGCCTTAGATAATAAAGAATAAAGTCCTGAATGTATTAAAACTTTAATAGAAGCCATTACTCCATGTACATATAATTTTGGTTTTTTAAAAAAGTATTTATTATTATTATAATGAAATTGAAAAATTTAAATTAACCTACAGGTTAATCATCTTTCTGCAAACAATTATAAAATCCTAAGGCTAAGGATTAGTGAGTCAATATTTAATAGTTTCTGAAGACTCTGAGATTTAATTTTTTATATTGCTGAGTGAACAGCAGGAAATCACATGTACAAAAGGAAACTAAATTGTTTACAGTAACCTTTGTGTTTTTGAATTATTAATTTAATTTGAAAAATATAGTGGCCAGGCAGAAGTTCAATAGGAAGCATGTGAGACATAATGAGCCTACACCAACATTAGATTAAAAATAACAGAAAGTAATAACCTCTTCATACAATGAAAAGTGTTTGTAGAGTCTGCTTTTCTTGAGTCACCATGAAAGAAATGTAGCTACCAATAGTACAAATAAATTACAGCAGCATTTGCTCCACGTCTAGAATGACTGATGCATGTTTCCTCTGCTTGTTTTCCTTGTTAGGGCATATGACCAGAAGAGATTCCAATTTTAAGTACCAATTTCCCATTGAATTATTTGAAATTGGAGCTGCCTGATATGAATGACTTCCCATGAAATGAAATTATAGTTAGGCTCACAGACTTACTTTTAAAACTGTAAATGCAGTAATATGTATGCATGGGCATGCCACTAATTTTATTGAAGACTTA